AAAATATGTTTCCCAGTATTTCCTAGTATAATTTCAGCAAATAAACAGTAACTGTGCATTAATGTGTGCAGAAGTGTGTCTCTGTAGAGGATGTTAACTTATTTTCACTTAGAAAATCAACAAAACATGTCATTTGATCTGGGGTGCCCAAACTTTTGCATACATACAACTGTATGCCCATTGGCTTTATTAAATGACACTTGAAGAATCCCCTGTTTTAAGAATGTAGGAAACAAAAATTATGACATGATTAGATCATAAAAAGGACTTCTACCTAGATTTACTGCAACAACTAGAAGTGGAAAATTCACAAATTAACTTTAAGCTACTGCAGGCTATGGTATCCCAGGTGGTTGCTAAGGAAATGTTATGACATTGCAATGGCATCCCAGGTGGTTGCTAAGGTGTTATTCAAGGGGGTTGCTAAGATGTTGCTAGGCCATTGCTATTGGAATCTCATCTGGTTGCTAATGTCTTTCAAGGTCATTACTATGGTATCCCATGTGGTTGCTAAGGTGTTGCTAGGCTATTGCAATCTTATTAATAAATGAATTACTGTATAATGAGCCTAGTGCATAACAATTTCTATCTGTAAGCGGTATAAGCGGTCGCTTAGGGCCTCCAAACAACAAGGCAAATATGTTATTTGTTGGGATTTTAATTGCCGTTTGTGTCAATCATGATATTTGCAAAAAAGAAAATAAAAATTGCAGACATCACTGACGACTCAAGAAGTAGAAATGAGGTGCATGCCACGTAAATAGACATCATAATAGAGTGTACTGGATCAGTAAATGTAAAGATTCTGTGTCCCCTGTATATGATTAACTGTTGCTCTGTTCTTTTTACTAAACATTCATTAAATGTTTTTACTGATCAAAATTAATTATTTATTATTTTTTATTCTTGCACACAAAATAACCTCATTAGAGTGGGTCGAAGCCACCCAACCCAAATGGCGAAGTCACCCACCCACATCCAAATGACGAGCAAAAGCCTCACATTAGCTCCTTGTCTTAAAATAAGCTGGGGATTCGGCCCTTTTCTAAATGTACAAATAATAGTAAAGCACAAAGATACTAGAGAATGCTGATATTTTAATGACATCCCACAATGCACCTCAAAATGTAGGGGACGGAAGCGTGTTCTAAACAATATTGTATCTCAGGCTGATTCCCAAATCAAACTATATCAACAAAAATCTTGTTCAAGAAGGTGGGTGAATTAACAACTGCTCCAGCAATCATAAAGAAATGCAAGGCATCATGAGTACTTAAATATTTTTAAATATTTGTTTTATTCTTCAAAACTGTATCGTTACGTTACAGTTTGCACTGAATACTGTACAAAAACACAATATTTGCTGTTTTGTCTCTGTTATTAATTTATTGATTTGTTTATGTAAATGTTTCAAATTTGATGCAACACATTCCGAAAAAGCTGTAACAGGACATGTTTCCATTTAACAGCAAATAAGTGTTTGAGGTTCGAGTTTTGAAAGCATTTTTTTTAGTTGCCATTTTTCAGTTTTTCTTCAGCTGCACATATGTATTTTACGCTTCATGTGCCATGATATTGTAATGCAGTCATATTGTAATAGTTTTGGACGTCTCTGTAAAGACGCTGTCTGGAAGACAACGTAAGTTGCTCCAAACTTTGAACATATCTTTCGGAGTTAAATGTACCCTCACAGACAAGCAATGGGCACTAATGTTACAACAAATGCTGGCTTTTGAACTTTGGTAACAGTTCAAAACAGTCTTTTTTCCTTGGCCTGGAAAACACAATGCCCATTATTTCCAGAAGCTATCTGAAAGACTGACTCATCAGATCACAATACGTATTTCCCCTGTGCACCAGTTCATTTCAGTTAAGCTCGAGCCCCCCAGAGAAGTCGGTGGTGTTTCTGGACGTCGTTGACATATGGCTTCCATTATGCAGAGTACAGTCTTAACTCTAATATCCCCGAGCCCATGTTGTGATTTCAATCTGCAGGCAGGTTTTCAATGCATGCCAAATAATGGATTGAAGGTCACGAGCATTCAGTTGTGGTTTTGCATACAGTTTTCTGCAGATTCCCTGAATCTTTTGATGATATTATGCTGTGTAGGTGGTGAAATACCCCAAATCCTTGCAATTGCTTGTTGAGGACTTGCTTGTTATTATTACACTGTTGGATTACACACTGGCAAATGAAGGCTTGGAATTGAGGTTTGGAAGAATGAACTTCATTCACATTATACGCTTAGCAAAACATATGAAAATGTTTCCACATGATATGCATCGAAAACACAAGATGCTCGCAGGATGCTCAAAAGTTCAAAGTTCTTATCTGTGCTGTTGTAGTCTGTCTGAAAGACCCCACCCTCGCTGTACTGCATACGCCAGAAGAACAGTATGCAGTGTATACTACCGCAGTGAACAGTGGTGTAAACTGTAGCGCTAGAATAAGTGTATAGCATGCAGTACTTGTAATAAGAGCGTAGTATAGGCTCAGTTCCTGTGCAGTAAGAGGGGGAGGGAGGAGGAGTGTGCATGCGTATGTGTGCGTGAGCCTGAGTCATCTCAGCACTTTCGATATGTGTAGATGTGATGCACACGCAAATGATAAGAGGCGAAGACACTACCACGACCCACACACTGTCCTGCACTGATGTCCTTTGTGACTGAGCTCATTTTCAGCAATGGACACATTTGAAGTGAGAGAGAGAGAAAAGAAATTAAAAACAAGAAATAATAAAGAAAATAATAAAATAATTGCCCACCTTATGTTAATTGTAGATCTGTAAACATGGAGCACACAAAAATGCTCATATCTAAAGGTGGGAAGTTCTAGTTTCTATTCATTTAGTGACACTTTACTTTTTTGCTGTGGGCAAATGAATCTACTTCTTCATTTGTTCCAGTTAGTAGCTCTAGTTCTTCACATTTAGTTCCTAATTGCCTTTTTTGGGTTTAATTTGATTCTGATCTGCTGGTTCAGCTCCTGGGCTTCTTTGCTGTTGGTTACTTCTCACTTTGGAGCTTTGGCATTTAATTTTAGACCAAAAGGATCCCAAACAGAGAACAGAGCCTAGCAATCCTCAGTTCCTACGCTGAAAGATGCTGGATGTACTAAGAACATCCACTGCAGTTCTATATGGAAATGAATACTTCAGTGACAATTAATTGAAATAACAATACATTCACTGGTGCCACTGATGAAGCGTTCTTTAAGCGATAGCATAGAAGAACCACTAATGGTTCCCTAAAGAACCTTTTAAAAGTTAAAAGAACCTTCACATAATTTAAAGATTCTATTCCAATTCGAAAAAAAAAAACAAAAAAAAAACCTTTAAATTACGTGGAGGTTCTTTCAACTGTAAAAAGGTTCTTCACATTCTTCAAAAGAGGTAACATAAAAGTTTCTTACAGTGATGTCATAGAAGAACCACTAACCACTAAACTTTTTAATGGTTTATAAAGATTCTGTACCAATTTAAGGGTTCTTCATAGAATGTTTACACTATGTGAAAGGTTCTTCACACTCACCCACTTTTAAATCTTTAAAAGGTTCTTTACACTTACATAGGTTCTATGCACATCTCATTCACAAAGACAATTCTTTAGGGAACCATTAGTGGTTCTTCAGTGGCATTGCTCAAAACACCCGTCGTGTTTCCTTTTTTTAAAGAACCATCACATTACGTTTTATACCAATTTAGGATTTCTTCCTAGAACCCACATATTATGCAGAGGACCTTTCAAGTTTACTCACCAAAATAAAAAAAGGGTTTTTTTCAGTGATGCCATAGAAGAACCACATCTTTGCATTCAACCATTTCCAAAAAGGCTCTCTAAACAACCACTGAAAGGTTCTCTAGGGAACCAAATACAGTTTTTCTATGGAATTGCCTAAGGAACTCTTTTTTTTGCAAAGTTAGTTTTAAGATTTTGCTCTCATTTACAAGGATCCAAAGGGGGTTCTTATATTGCAACATGCAAAGAACCCTTTCTGGCGCCTTTATTTTGAAGAGTGTGAGTGGATTTAGGCTGTTTAAGCCACCTGATGCATCTTCACAATGATGTAGTCTTTTATATCTTCTAATTAGAGAGTGATTTGTGGACAGCAGAGTTTCAGTTGCTCAGACTGTTTGTCTAATATCAGTTAATGAAGAATCAGTCTGTGAAGAATCTGTGTGTGTTTCCATAGAAGTAATAGGCTCAAAATCACTGAAAACAGGTTTGATGTCTGAAGCTGTGAGATATAAAGCTGGGGTGGGGGATACGTTCTAAACTGTTAAACGGCCCATTCCCTACATTTTTCATCTATATCTATGTCTACGTATAACATTTGTGTGGGTTTATGTACCAAAAACTCTCATAATTCACTTTTTCTTGACCCCTCTTTATTGTTTAGAATTAAACAGGCTGTTTTTGTCACTGTGCCTTTAAGAATTGTATATGTAAATGACTTCTGTTCTGATTGGCTGCCCTGTATTGCGCCTCAAAAATCAGTCGGGGATGAAACGCTCAATAAAATTTCAGCATGAATAGGTGGGATAAACTGCTGTAGACTGAACAGCTGGTCCAATTTGTAACATCACAGAAAGCAATTAGTTCAAAATAAGCAAAGTGTCTCAAAATCATTACAGGAACTTTACAGGTAACTTTACAGGAGAAGGCCATTTTTTTACTTTCACTGTAAGCTAACGTGATGAGATTTTTGACATGATATAAAAGGCAGCTGCTGGGCTCAAATGATTCAGAAAAATAAAAATAGAAAAAAAATGAGACAGTGATAACATATGGACTATATGGACTGGGAAGTGGACAGTACATTTTAAATCTTACAGCAAAGTTTCCATACAACACTAAACTTCAATATTATATATTTCTAAAAAGTGAGTTTTTCCTTGATATGGGCCCTTTAAAGCATATGTGGGTGCAATAACATCAGTATAAAAGGCAGATAACTTGTCACAATGAGGTTTAAGTCAGCAGTAAAAGCAGCACCACAGTCAGATCTCAAAAAATAGAGTTTAATGTTCGTGTGCTGTATAACAAATTAAATATATTAGTGTTTACAAAACAAGAGGTGCGTGACTACTGCATATCCTAACGGTGCATTCTTTACTCAGACAACAGTGATGGGAACAAAGCACAACGTTTCACCCCACAGTCCGAAAATGCATCGTTCAGTTCTACATAGCACGGACAAAGACGAGTGAGCTCGTTGTCATAAAGGACGAGAAAGAAGCATGGGACAAAAGTAGGAGTCTAGATATGTTCTGACATATAGGTCATCAGTAGCTGCATGTCGGTGTCAGTGATATCTAATCAGATCAAGCTGCTTTCTTTTGTTTTTTTCATTTCCACAAAGGTACTGATACGTCTCAATCTTTCTGAGAAATCTGACAGACCGACATGCGCCTCGATATCCAGGTTTGCCACTTTCCAATAAACATAACCAAACACACGCACGCACACAAACCCACAAATAAGAATCCAAAACACGCTACCACTGCTGGGGAAATCAGGCGCAGCCAGCTGAAGAGCCTACACTGGGCCTGTGCGCGCACTGGTTAAAAATGCTGATTCGGGACCAGCGAACTGCTGATACTCGTGAAACTAATCCCGAACCAGCACTCTCAACCACTGGAATGTTTTCAAAACTAAGGCAAAAACACCTGAATAACATTAACATGCAGGTAAATTATTACACAATCATTAAAACTTTAATAATTTACCATTCTGAACCTTTCGCATCGTCCTTCGACATATCAGGCGCCCCCACACACTCAAAGAAACTATAAAATGGCACTTAAATTAACAGGTTTGCATACTTAAGTCTTCAGGTTTCTGAAAGTAATCCTACAAAAATAAAGAGTACAGACAAACTTCTCCATTTTGCCCTTCAAAACAAAACAAAACAAAACAAAAAAACAAAACACTGAAGTGTGGGAGAGAGACTTGAGGATGGGTCGGTTATTCTCACATAGAGGTATTCATCAACAACAACACCAATACGGTTCATACGGCAGCTCTTCGACCGCACTGTTACACACACACACGCACAACTGTGGGAAACCCGATTGTTCGCTCCTACTGCACGTCACACGAAATCCGGAAACTACAGAATGAATGGTACTAACGGCCGAGCTCGGCCGCTTCACACAGTACGACCTCTATTTAACATAAAAAAGGAGAAAGAAAAAAATGGTCTCACCAAAAAAACACACAGGAAATGTCGATTAAAAGGATGCAAATTCTAAAAACGCGTTTAGAATAAAACACTAGTGCATATCAGTTCCATAAACGTTTGTACATCAGCTGAATCTAAGACTATTTCTACACTACTGAACGGAGGGTACAAATACAGTACTGTACAGTGAACAGCCCAGGGACGGCGACAACTAGACACGTTTCACTGGTTTTAGGAACAACAGCTATTCGGTATTGCTCTACTACTAAATACTCGGTATTACATATTACAATAGATCATGTATGATAAATGGTTGCCATGGTGCTGTGATGCTGCCCTGAAGTTTCAGTCCTAAGAAAACGTCGTACCTCCATTTTTTCCCTTACGTCATTTTTTACACTTTGCAACTACACTCAAATAATGGAGCCACAAAGGGTTCTTTGAGAGATGCCATAGAAGAACTATTTTTGGTTCCCTAATGAAGCAAAGACACAGTGTCATTGATGCAAAGCAAAGCCCAGAGGTGATCTCAAAATGAGATCAAAAGTCTGGGGGCAACTTGTTAAACTTCTGGTGCTGGATGACCCCTCTAAAGCCTGCCACCAAATTCTTCTAGTCCATCCGCTTTTAACGTCTGGAGTACAGTCAACACAAGCTAGCTAGCAAGATGCTATTGTTGACTATTGGAGCTGTTTTTCCCTTGCAAGACGTTTATTTTACTGCATGTAATTTGTATTTATACATGTACTTAATTGGTGTTTCTTAGTGGACCTTTCAGCCATGCTAACTTACATTCCATCCTCCCCCTAATTTGAGCTGAAGTGTCATCAAGTGTTGGACTGGTTTACAAACTCCAGACTTAGTTTGTTCACACCCTAAAAAGTGTATGCTCCTACCCACATTTAGCCCCAAATTTCTCATAGTAGCCCCAGGACGTTATTCCTTCTTGGTCACATTTGGCCCCATGAGACTATGCAAAGCACTGCTATTGTGAAGCAGCAGAAGCTATTTGACTGCCCCCTTGTGGAGAATGTATAGCCTGCTAAACGTGAGTGAGTGAGTGAAGGTATTTTCACAATTTAATGTAAAAGTTCTATCCCAAATTGGGTTCTTCCTAGAACCTTTACATTATGTGGAGGCCTTTTAACTTTTAAAAGGTTCGTCACTTCACAATACTGATGTTTAGGGAACTAAAGTGGTTCTTCTATGACATCGCACAAGGAACCCTTTCTGTCACCTTTTTTATAAGTGTATAAACACCTTGTTTTGAGATGACTGTTGGTCAAAAAATCTTCCTCCCAGAAACGTTTTACAGAAAGAGAGGTTCTGTTTTGGGTGTGGCCAATAAAATCACAGTTAGTACTTATTTAGTACTATTTATGCTTATCAAACTATTCACATAACTAATTACGATCTTCATACGTGAAGCTTGTTATTAGAGGTTTCTCTTAAGTAGTTCTGTGAATATCACTCCCAGGTAAGTAGTCAATAAGCTGAATTATGATACTTGTGCTTATTCTCAATGAAATAACCTTACATTACAATCTAGCACAGACAAATGAAGCTGAATGTGTGGACTGAGGTTTTCACTATGTTCGTAAAACTAACAACATCTACTTTAAGCATTGTACTCGCCCTCTGTGGGTCATCTCAACCATAGCACCGTAGAAAGACTATTAAAACCAGGTTCGTTTGAAATCCACCAAAAAAGCTCAAACGTCTTCAAACTGAGCTTGAACCATCGAGACAATGACGGTGTCACTTTCTGTTTCAGTGGAACAGTACTCGACATGCATTCATATATATATACACACAACACAAACTGTATTTAAATAACATCATCTCAACATTTTCCATGTATGAACAAATGTATGTACAACAAGCGGACATTATGGTCCACGCCCATTAAAGAGAGAGAGAAAACAAGTGAGAGAATAAAGAGGGAGGGAGAGAGAGAGAGAGAGAGAGAGAGAGAGAGAGAGAGAGACAGAAAGAAAGAGAGAGCAGTTTGCGTGTACAGTCAGTGACAACACAGATTCTGTGAGTCTATCCAGGGATGAAAATAAGGGCTCTAGGTGCTTTGGCAAAACAAAAAACTTGGAACTAAAAAAGAAACTCTATTTTGAGGCAACATTGGTTATTAAGGCTCTACTGTAGTTGTGCTCCTTTAGTATTCACTGACAGACAAGAGTTCATTATGGAATCAGTAGGAAGGGGTTTTCCGGTCTGCTATCTGGAATCCTCAGGCTCCGATTTGATGGTTTTCTTTTCCGAAAGGTTGAGGGCGCGTGGAGTCGTGTCCGCTCCGCTGCCGTTTTCTGGAAAGAGACAATGAGATAAAACATCACGACTTCAACTAACTAAATATAAAAGATATTTAGACTGAGTGGAGAAACAGACATGTGTGTCTGTATATTGTCTTCATTTGAGACTTAGAGACAGATTTTCTGAAAATACGAATCGTTATAATAAAATAAAGAGTTTAAAAATATTCAAAGTCTTAAAGAAATAGCTACCAGCTGAGATCAAACGACTAGATGAGACTACATCCCAAACTTAGACAAGTTTACTTCTTTATTTGTGTAGCTGATTTAGCTAACAAGTGATGGAAGTTTATATGGTACCAATTAGCATTTTGATAACTGCGTGCCTGAATCATCGCACAGTTGTCTTAAACTGTGTCAAGTTATTAGTGAATGTCAAACTGACTTGTTTATGTGGTTTCCGATACTGTGTGACAAACAGTTATGTATAAAAACTGGTAAAACTACAGATTAGATTCAGCCTTCAGAGTATATGCTAATACTGTTTTAGCAATGTGACGTACTTTTGCTGAGTTCTGAGAGATCGGAAAACTGTGTTTTTTATTGTTTAGTGTGTTTTTAATTTTAATTTGCCAGACTTTCACTTTAAGAACATCTTACATAGTACATTTTCTGATCATATTCGCTTACGTCAAGTATAAAATAAAGAAACTAGAGATGAGATGTAATAAACTGATTCAGTGTCCAGCCCAAATTATCTAATGACTAAAAAGGTTTGTACGTTGGGATGTAGTGGATGGTAAACACCCCCACTCCTCACTGCACTAGGTTTACACTGAGCTTTAGTTTCTAACCTTTTAACAAAAAGATATTATTAGAGATGCATGACGATATCAAAATCACATTGGTGTCAGCCATAGATACAGGGATGTGCAAATGTCTGAAGATCCCCAGTCAAATTATGTTTATTGATTTTCTACATGATTACGCAAAGAACATACTTTAAACTTTGAACTTAAATATGCAATTTCTTCCAATTTAGTGCCGAATTTCTATATATTTGATGAGTTTAACAAAATTTTTTTTTGCTTTAAAATTTAAATGATGACCACATTTAAATGATGTTTACATTTATCTCAAACTGATATGAGTTTTTTTCTAGAAAAGCAGAACCTTTAGGTCCCAAGTGTCAAACACAAAGCCCGTGGACCAAGTCACAATCCTATCCAGCCTGCAAAATGATTAAAACTTTCTATTAATATTAGCCCTTTTCACCATGAACTGCACTACAATCCCCAGCATGCACTTCAACGTAATGTGCACTCTGACCCCCCTCCCTCAATCACAATCTAGGGGACAGCAGTTACACCACAAAACGAAAAGATACGTAGTGTCTCGTTCAAGCATATAGGCAGGTTTAAAGACATTTACAGAGGTTCAAGTACCCAATGCCTTTTTTGCTGTATGAACGATGGCCTGTTCAGATCATAGCAAGATGTTGATTAAAAATGAAACAAAAACACAGCTGGGTTTTTAATATGGCCCTTTAGGTGGCTGCGTTTGACACCCCTGCTTTAGGTGATGCTGTTTTACTGAAATGCTAAAATGTGTGCATTATATTCATTTTACTGCACTTGTAAGCATCTACAGAAATAAATGCTACATTTCTCTGTAATTAAAATGTAGTCAGCTCAGAGATCCCATATCGGTGCATTCCTAATTATAACTTTACATCATGCAAATATTCAAGGGGGTGTATTATAGAAAGTACTGGCATAAGCAATACAGCAAGCCAAAGTGCAGTGCAGTTCACAGTGAATAATAACACTATAGTGACTGAAAGACTCTACTGCTCTGTAGTTATGTGACTGGTTGACCAGTGAAGTTTATGTTTGCATTATCTTTGCACACCATCACACAAACCTGTTGCGGCCGCTGCTTTGCTCTCAGCGCTGGCCTGGTGGTGTCTCTTCAGCTCGTTGGCCAGCTGCTTGCCCAGCGGCGTCTCCCCCTCGGACACCCCCGGCCTCTGGCCCGTCACCCGCAGATTCAGTGGCTTCTCACCTACACACACGCAGACACACAGACACTATTTTAAAACCTCATAATAAAGTTTCCCCACCCCAGCTGCACTGCACGGTATTATTATTAGCATGCCCTCCATTTCTGCTAAAGACATCAACAAAGTACAGCTAAATCACAAACAATACGCCTACCAAAAAAAAAAAAAGAGCTCCGAGCACAAAACCCTCGCTCACAGACGCTACTGATCTCAATATGATCTGAACTGAGCGCAGCCTTTCCTGCTATTAGAGTCAGCCAACGCAGTCGGAGTAATGGCCTGAGGACGCAGCCTGCAGATGCCCACAGTAACACGAGCGCACATCACACACTCGCACACCGTTTACACACACGCAGCATTAACCTGAGCGCACAGCCGCGCTGTGACTAACAGCCTTCAGCTCACATTCAGCTCACAAAACATCCTTAATTACCCACAGCACTGATTCAGCTCCACCTGCACCGACTCAAACAAGGCCAAACACTGCCTCAGTAACTGATCTCTGTCTCTCTCTCTCTCTGTCTCTCTCCAGTCTCTCTCTCTCTCTGTCTCTGTCTCTCCACTCTCACTTTCTCTCTCTCTCTCTATCTCGCTCCACTCTCTCTCTCCCTCTCTCTGTGTCTCTCTGTCTCTCTCTCTTCACTCTCACTTTCTCTCTCTTTCTGTCTCTCTCTCTCTGTCTCTCCACTCTCTCTCCTCCTTCACTCTCTCTCTGTCTCTTTCTCCACTCTCTACTACTTCACTCTCTCTCTCTCTCCTGCTTCACTCTCTGTCTGTCTTCTTTCACTCTTTTTCACTCTCTCCACTCTCTACAACTTCTCCCTCTCCATTCTCTCTCCTACATCTCTCTCTCCACTCTTTACTACTTCTCTTTCTCTCCCCCTTTTCTCTTTCTCTCTCCCTCTCGTTCTCTCTTATTTTCTTTTTCTCTCGCTTCCCTCAGTTTCCTCTTTTTTGCTTCCCCTTCTTTTTCTCTCTTCTTTCCCTTCCTTAACTTTTCTCACTCCCTCCTATCTTTTTTTCACTTTCTCTGTCTTCCTTCATCCTCTTGCTCCCTCTCTCTCCCTCCCTTCACTCTCTCATCCTTTACTCTTTTTCTCTCTCCTCCCTCTCTTCCTTTCTCTATCTTTCCCTCTCTCTTTCCCTCCTGTTTTTTGTTTCTCATTGTTCTCTCTTCCTCTCACTCCATATTTCTCTCTTCTATCACTTTTTCTTATTCTCCTCTTTCTCTCACACACTCTCCCTTTTGCTTCCCCGTCTTTCACTCTCTCTTCTTTCTTTATCTTTATCACTTTCTCTCTTCCCTCACTTTCTCCAACGCTCTCTCCTCTTTCACTCTCTCCTCCCTCACAATTCTCTCTCTCCCTCGTCTCTTCTTCGCTGTTTTTCTCTCTATTCCCACACTTTCTCACAGTTATTCATTCTCTTCCTTCATTCTCTCCTTATTTTCTCTCACTCTCTTCTTTTTTCTCTCTTTCCTCTCTCTCTCACCCTTTGTCTGCCCACTCTCCTCTTTCTCACTCATTCTCACCCCAACCCCTCTTTCTCTCTCCATCTTCCGTCCTCTCCCTTTCTCTCACTCCCTCCCCCGTCTCTCTCTCTCTCTCCCTCTCTCTGCAGATCCCGTACGCCCACTCAGAGTGCACGCTGGGATGTGAAGAGATTCAGGCAGCTCGTGTAGCAGAGTTCATGAAGGAGGTATTCAGTGGAATGGGGAGGGAGACGGCTCTGCTCACACAGCGGGAAACTCCCCAGACACGCGGCATAAATAACGCAACACACAGCTTCATTCATCTTCAATGCTCTCAAACTCTGACCACACACATTTCCTTTCTGCGTTTCAAACACTAAAGGCGAATGCACATGAGACTGTGATACAGTAGGAGTGTAATGATATGCTCAGCTCACGATTCCATCACATTCTCAGCTACGGATGCACCGAAATTTCAAGCACCAAAAATATTTGGCTGAAAACAGTTAAAAATAGCACTGAAAGGTTAAAAAACTATTAAGTAATTATTAATTATTAAATCATTAAAAAAACAACGACAAACAATAAAATAGGCCTACAGTGAATTGTCAAATTCGAACACTTTCTACAGCTAAAGTTGCTCATCAGCTTCTTATTCGTTTTTCTGTGAGCACCAGAATGTAACTGCCACACTGTTTAAGATGGAACGGAAAATTCAAAAAAGAAGTTGGTGAAAACAAAGCAAACTTCAGCCTTGTTCTCTTTCCTGTGCCGGTCTTCACAGACAGGTTCAAACAGTTTGAGCGGCAGCAGATCAACACTGAAAATTTTGAGTGAAAATGTTTGCTGTGGAACTATTTCACTGTTTCTATGAGGGATATTAGACAAGAGATTTGTAATCACTGTTCACGCTGAATATCAAGAGCAGATACAACACCCAGAAACATGACAATCCACTTGTACGCTAACATCATCTGTTGCTACAGTTTATAACATGATGAAAAAATTCACAAACAGCAGTGTCAAAACATAAAAAGTAACAAAAAATAATGGGATTCATTGCCTTGGATGAATAACCACTCTGTTGTCGAGAATATAGGATTTCGTGGAACATACCAGGCCTATATACTGTAATCATTTTTACAATACTGTAATAAAGTTTATTTTATGTAAACTGCTTTATTTTTAATCAGCTTTTTTCAGTTTCGGTTTTCGGCACAGTGTGTCCTGAGTTTCGGTTTTGGCCAAGAATTTTCATTTCAGTGCATCACTGTTCTCAATAATGGGTTCACAATTTAATATTCCAAAGAAAAAAATGATCTTCTAATAATAGTACCGAGACTAGAACATGCTGGTGTTAAATTGATAGCTACCACTGGTGTTCAAACAATTCATTAAATGCTATTTTTCCACTGCACAAAGTCACACTAGAAACCCGAAACTGTGTTTTTCTACTATACATCGGCCCAGTACTGAAGGTCTGGGTTTATGGTTTTTAGTATCTCGTCAAGATTTTTATTAACAGGACCGTACTTACAGCTGAAGCCAATAACAATTTAGTGAGTTGTTTACTCTTCCAGGTGAAGACAGAGTCATGAAGCACTTTCACACAATCAGTAAGTGCACAAGAATGTAAACTACACTGGTATGTTGATGTGTTGACTTCGATTGCTATTTTTAGGCTCATGACTTGACAAAAATGTTTGCTAAGGTTACATAAACTAGTCAGGAAGCTAACACTATTAGCATTTATGCTAGCCACACTTTTGGCACTTTTGCTAGCCACACAACTATATGAGCTTTGCCTAATGCTACACGATTCTGTGTAATTCTGGAGCATTTTTGTGTGTTGTGAGCCGAACAGGGTTGAACATCACTTCATATCAGCCAGTAAGTAAAGCTAACAAGCAAGCAGAACAGCTAATTAGCCAAATTAGAGACATTAGAGTGGCATAAAATGACAAAAAAAAAAACAATTAAATAATTATTCTCAGTTAGAACATTTCCAGCTCAAGCTTAGACCAGTTCTTGCTGTCAAATGTGAAGTGGAAAAGCGTCAATGTGTGTCCAGTTTTTGCATCATGATGTACAGTATCACAATGTGTTGTTGCACCTTTACAGTATACACTTATAGACTTCTCCCTCACTGCTTCCAATAGGAAGACAAACTCATTACTTCTCCAATCAAAGCGCCTTGTTTTTCTTCTTTTTTCTCACTAAAGCTATTTTCATTTCACAATTTTGGGTAATATTAACACAGAGAAAAACACTTTCACCGCTAAATGCGTCTCAGTTTTCACATGCTGTAATTACAGATGAGTGTAAGTGAGTTCCACCCAATCTGAGGAGAGACAGTGAGGCATTACCAGAATTTAGCAATGGAACAAACGCTCACTTCTTCACACAGACCCACCCACCCCTCTGACCCAACTCCCACTGTCCCACCTCCGCACACAGCTGCCAGATGAGCCCCTGAAATGAAAGACCTGCTGAGAATTGAAAAAGAGAGACAGGGAGAGAGAGAGGGGAAGAGAGAGAGAGAGAGAGAGACAGATAGACATACAGAGAGAGTCTGAGAGAGCAGGTGATGCAAGCTACGGAGGCATCCGCGCAACAACAACCCCTTAACACATCACCAGCTCTGCTAAATCATCTGGGTGGTCAGTCAAGGTTGACACAGTCTGTCACCATCACCGTTCTCACAGTAAAAATAGCTGTTTCCTCTTCCTCACAATCTGCTCCTTCATACCAGCTGACCCTCACTTTCGGTTACCCCATTTTAACCGTTTTCTTAAAGTTATTCACATATATTGACACCTGACTCTCCTTTTTATGTCCTTGGGGCATTTTATAGGAAGCGAAAAAAAAGAAAAAAACCTGCTCAGAATGGTTTCTGTATGACTGGCTGAAAACAGTAAAACACAACAATGTTGCAGAAAAGTGTTCATCCACAGACTTCCAGAAGATATTTAATACAAATGTTAGGAATGTCCTGATCAGGTTTGATTCACCAGCTCATTCAATATTGAATAGTACTTTGAATATTGAGTAGTATTTTCTTAGATAATGCATCCACACAGTGCACAATTCAAGTGCTTTAAAGGTAATCATTGTAAGATATCACTGCTGTCGGAAAACAAGGCCTTGATCTCCAAAACTAATTCTACAGAAAGAAAAAACTTTCTTAGCTTGTAATGGAAATTAGTGTAACAAGAAATTTCTATTAATCCGTTCATCATGAAATTTGGACACAAATGGTAACTGGAGATTTCAAATTATGTGAAAAAAGTGAAAAACGTTACAATGGAGACACAAAGTGTGAAGTGAAGACATGCTAGACTGCCTAATTGTTTAAGGTTATTCGTTTATGTGCCCAGGAAATCACTTTGTGTTTACAGTGTAAACAGCCAACTTGGGTTCAACACTGGAGAGGCAAAAAAAAAATTAATTTGGGGAGAGGACGCTGAAGTGAGAGCAAAAATCATGGGATATATACGTAAATTGATAATTATTTATTATTTAATTTAAATCCTACCTAGCAACATGGAATGTGTTGCTTTTCATTTTGACCTTTGTGTTAACAGGTCAGGGCTTTCACACAGGCTGCGTGAGCGGAGCGGCAGAGCCTCCCAGAGCGTCACTGAAGCGCAATGTATTTACAGAGTAGAGAGCCTTTAAGACTGATATACGTAAATGAGCTCTTTTCTGACTAGCTGTCCTGTAATGTGCCTGAACCATGAATCTGCCAACCCTATGTGACAGTGAAAGAGCCTACGCAGGAAAACGCAGTTTTTCTGGTTGCCACAGCTTAAAACCTCTACTGTTAAAATCAGTTTCACTATAGCAGCTATTTTCAGCCTGCTCTGTGCAGCTTCACTAACAAGGCTTTCCTCAAGCTTTGAGCTGTTCTTTAGTTTTGGGGGGCAAACAACCCAATGTCCCCCTTTAATTCGCACCTATGCTATGAACTGTATGAATGTTAACTAACAAAATAATAAGTTTAGAGTCTTGAATAAGCTGATGTCACCTTTTAGGTTGCTCTAACACGAGCAAAGTACTTGCTTTTTTGGCTTCGAACTTTTATACTTACCATTAAGTATGACCACACGCTTACATTAAATTCAACTCATTTTAAAGAGGTCCACACTACAGACCGTATACTGCTTATAAACTTCTGAAGAATTTTGCTGTGGATATTGTCTGTTTATTTCATTTCTATGACAGTGGTGTAAATAGAATACAATAGGGTAAAGTTTTTTTATAAGGCCTACATTCCACATTTTCTTGTATTTTATTTTTTTCCTCTGAGGTCCCTTTATGACCTTCATGTGATTTTGTGTACCAAAAATAGCCGTAATTAATTTTTACATTACTATTTTCTAAAGTTCTTTTTAACCCTTAGAATTTAACAGGCTGTTTTTGTGCCTTTAAGACTGATATATGTAAATGAGCTCTGTTCTGACTGGCTGCCTTGTAATGTGCCTGATTCAAAAAGCAGTCTGGGCTGAAACATGCCTTATAACTTTAGCATAAATGGGCGGAGCTAAACTGTACTCGGCTGAATAGATGGATCTACATAAATGTGCTGGTGTGACATCACAAAAAAACAGTGAATTCAAAATGGGCTTATTTTTCATATATGGACTGTATTGAGAGTGAACAGTACGTTGTGAAACTTTAAAAAGGTTTATGTACTGCTTTAAACTACTTTCTTTCCTAAAGAGTGAAGAAAAGGTAGTTTTTCATGATACTGACCCTTTAAGGGCCAAAATTTTGGTTTGTTTAATAAATAGTAACCCTTTAAGTGTACTTAAGGCGAGTTCTGCCATTTAATGTACTCTTCTCCTTTTATGAATATGATTTCTCAATATTGTTGGTACAATTATTATGTAAAGAATGTGCTCTAAAAAGCTGTAAACATATTAATTTGTGTCACAAATTACCTTTTTGAGCATGAAAACAAATAATATGAAAATACTTTACTCTTCAGTCTCCTTTTGGTTGTTTCTCTAATGAAACATATTAGTAATGAGCCCTTAATATCCGCATTCTCGCTCAGAAGCTATCACAGTCCATCCAACAATAAAGACATGGAGCTTCTTTTATACAGTGATAGGCAACACAGTACCACACAGAAAGCTCCAATCACATATGCGGATCCACTATGACCAACATGGACATGCATGCGCTTACAAAAAAAACATTTAAGAGGAAGTCTATGAATGTATCCTTTTTGGTACAGGTTTGATAGGATTATAATATAGCTCAATTGGCTCAATTACCCATTTTTCACATAAAATCAGGACATCCCTAATTATCATCCCTAATTATGCCTCTCTGGAGCATGTGTGTATATATATATATATATATATGTATATATAAATATATATATATATATTTATTTATAAGACTCCAGTCATGCTCTTCCTCTGTCTCACTCACCGTGCTGCTCGCTGGCCTTATCACTGGACACTCCATTGGTGCTCTGTCTGTCCGCACTGTGTTTAAAGGCTCCGGGTGGCACTCTCCACTCCAGAGCCTGCAGTCTGTCCTGAGCTGCAGCATCGTGCAAGATCTCCATCTGCTTAGCCAACAGACGCTCCAACTGAACCTGTGATACACACATAGGGAGTCAGAAATATGATACTGTATTTTGGCACAGTAAAATTAAAGTATGAATGATGTAGATGTGAACAGTGCATCTCCATACGCTGAGCAGCAATTATCACCCTTAAAAAACATGTTTTCAGAGATCTTAGATAAAAGCAGTGGCTAAATATAGAACTAGTGTTGCACTGATACTGATACAGTATCATTACTTGGCACTTAAACTTGCACCACGTAATATGTCAGAGTTGTTGGGTCAGATTTTGCTGGGGGTTTTCGGACCACGTCATGCATCTTTACGTATTAACGTCATTAATGTTGTCATCTATTTTTGTGTGTAGGAATACAAAAGATATTCAAATACATACAGTGTGACACACAGACCAGTGAACAAACATTTTAACAACAATTTTCACTTCCTAATTCAAAATTATGAATCACTCTTCCTTCCTGATAACACGTTCATGTTGATGTTGCCCCTGATAAGCTGAATAACCACAACTTTTCAGCAATAAAGTCATTTACGATCTCAGTAGGTAAACAACCCTTTTCAGCACTGATATCTGCCCCATATTTAGCTGCTGAACAGCACAGTAGACTGATTTCTAGATCCAGTTCCACCTTCCAGCTCAAACCAGACTTTCACACATATGTCATATTGTTTTAACATGTGTCATGATATTTTGCACAGAAGGTAATGAAACTAAGTCTATTCCAGTCATGATGATCAGCTGAGAAAAGCCTGGAATTATATTCAGTATTTGTTTTACTTTATATACAATAACAACTTACAAACTATAGATTTAAATCTTATAAACCAAACATCAAAGATATCTTTAGATCTCTTTAGATTTCTTCAATATTTCAAGGATTCTTTGTTACTATATACTGTAAATTCACAATATATTTGTCCAATTATCTACTTTGATATTTGATCTACACTTTTCAAATATGAGACACCTACATACAGCTTTCTCAGTCATTAAGGAATCACCTACAGCTCTGTTCATCATTCCGAACACATCCTGAACATTTCTTTAAAGCTCACGAGTGTCCTATTAATGATTTGAAACCTATGGAATTGAACAGAACCAATAAACTGAATATATTTTATACATTTATTAAAAAACGGATTGGATTTATACTGGTAAAAACACTGATTCCACACTATTGAACAGCGATTCCAAACTTTTAAATGAAAGTGTACATAAACAGATCCATTCTTCTCTTCAGTGAACAGTAAAGCACACATATTCACCCAGGATGATTAGCTAATGTATTTCAGACAGCACTGTTGGGACTGCAGAATGATCTTAATGAGTGATGTTAGAAAAAACAACACCAGAACAAATGAAGGGATACTCTTCACTGATCATGAGCACAAAACCACTGAGATGTTGTTAGAGAATTCCCTGAGTTGCTTTTAATCAGCTCAAAGGCACTGATATCTAGTTCATCTGTCTTTGGCATCAAGACTGGTGGGATTCTGGTAACACCTTCTCCCCATGTCGGCAATCTCTGAGCTATCTTTGACCCCACACTCTCCTCTGACATTCACATCAATTCTGTAGTTAAGACAGCATCTTTCCATCTCTGTAATATTGCTTGTCTCTGGCCATACAGATGTAGAAACACTTGTGCATGCATTAGTGACATCGCAGGTAAACTACTGTAATGTTCTCCTATCTGGCCTCCCTGTAAAAGCCCTTAATAGGTTACAGTATGTAAAAAAATGCTGCTGCTAGGATCTTCACCTACTCTAAGAACACTGACCTTATCACCCTAATCCTTCAGAGTCTTCACAGGTTGCCTATTACACTCCGTGTTCAGTACAAGGTTCTACTTATTACATATAAAGCTCTGCAGTTTGGCTCCTCAATATCTGGTTGAGCTTCTTCATCTATATGTCCTATATGTCCTTGTTCATCTATATGTCCTATCATGTCCAATTTAGGCCTTCTTCATGTTACAAGGTTTACAATGACCTCTATGGGTGGTCGATCATTTAGTGTAGTAGCTCCCAAGTTATGCCGTACTCTCCCCAAGTCTATTTGAGATGCCACCCCTCTGTCTTCATTTAAATCCTTGTTAAAGACTTGTTTTCACTGTGTTATCATTGTTCCGTGTATACTTGAACGTTATACCTGTATGGTCCTTTTGTTGCTTATTGTTTAATGTGTTGTTCTTTGATTATAAAGCGTCCTTGAGCAAGGGGAAGTGTGCTATATAAATGAAACTGATGAGTGACGATGATGAATGAGAAGTCCAGCGACATCCCAAAGCAAGATCTTTGGGAAACTGTTTATAGTCTTTCACACTGCAGATTGGCTAAATGGGTATTGGAAGTGATGCTGCCTTTGATTTGTTGTCTGTTCATAAATATGGACTGAAAAGAACAGCATGTAATTTGAACAAAAGCAGTTTACAAGTGATTGGTAAGTATTTAATAAATAATAAGATTTAAGATGAATTATTGACAATTAAGCATGGAGTTTACTGAAGGCATAACATCTAAAAGTACCTTATGAAATGTCTATGGGGGGGGACTTGCCTCTTGTAGACCACATTATGGATTTGTATAGTGTCAGTGTCCAGTTCACTTGCATTGTTGGAACCTTACACTGAGCTGGGTATCAAAATTCAATACTTTCATGGTACCATCTGGATTTCTTCAATACTTTCAAGAACTGAAAGAAATTCTATATCACACAGTACCCAATACCTTAGTCATATGTCATATCAACCTCCCTTGAGCCAATAAGTATGCTAGCTCCAAAACCTAGACTGCTTACTGGCTGTCTAAATTACATTCTGTATGCATGTTATTAACTTTGTCACTTCTTAATTAGCCTGTAACCTGCTGTGCTCTATAAATATACTTCCAACACTCCACACTAATTTCTGGTTTAAGCCACTCCTAATTTGATTTGACTATTTGGATGCAAACCCGCAGACGTCTGCAAAGAACTACTCCAAGAATAACGATCTGATGTCACCTTCTGAAAGAATACTTTGCCAAAAAGCAGATTACATTCTTGGAATTCTCTGTTGAAAATAAATGCCACTTTATTCGACATTTTGTTTCTTAACACAATTAATTTAATACATTTTAAGTATCTGAACAAATGTCCAGATACTTTGTGGGGCCACTGTATATAGAAAATGTCAAAGTGCCAGTATTTGTGTCAGTACTGCACATTTTTTAACGACATCCAGCCCTAGTCACAGGGTCCAGCCTAACGACCCTAAGAGCACACGAAACTCAGCTGTGCCTGTATGACTCATGTGTGCTAGACAGGCGTCAGCAAGTTGCCCATAAGCATCACCCTCCCACCCACTCGCCCCACACACAGTGTCAGTCACCTGGATGTTTCGGGAAACTGTCTCGTCTCCTTTGGATCTAGCCTGGGCCAGCTGCTCTCTGAGCGTCTCCTGTCGCATGTGGATGGCCTGCAGCGCCTCCTGCAGGTCAAAAAAGCCTTCCTGCTGGACAAGAGCGGGCACAACAGAAAACACCACCTCAGTACATTCATTCGCCGTAACACGTCTCAGTGTTGGAGGGCAAAGGTGCTGCAAAGTTTGGTGTTTGCCTGATTTAGTGGAATGAAAAATCGTGTTTGCAGCCTAAAACAGGGATCCATTATGATATTTAATATCAGTATCAGCAGATACTTCGTTTAAAAAACGGCACTGGGTGGATGATTATGACTCATCGATCTTTCAAAGCAATGTTTGATGACATTCATTGTTCTACGGAAGAACTGAAGGCTTATGGCACTTTTGGCTACCATGCAAAAATATCTGCGTTTTTTTTACTGCATTTTACTGTATTTGTAACTCGATGCAATTAAATTTGAGATTTCTTCGTAATGCTAATCTAGACAGATGAAGTCCCAATTTCTACTTTATAAATGTTCATGAATATGTACATGAAAATACTGGGAATCTGCATTAGCCCATTATTCCTATATCAGTGCGTACCTTGTATAAACTTGTTTGCACTGGAGCTACAAAACTAACATAGCTAACACGTAAAACTTGCTTTAACTGCATCCTAAAATCATAAAACACTTGCCTCAAACTGTGTCAAGCTGTTAGGTCAAATTGACTTTCTTGTGCAGTTTCTGATACTGTATGACGCTGTTAGACCTTCTGATGCTATGACTGTTTATAGCTATGCTAACTTTTTATAGATAGCAGTGTGTCATACAGTTTTAGAAGCAAGTCTATTTAAGGTCACCTAACAACTTAACTCTGTTTGAGGTAAGAGTGTGATGATGTAGACATGCAGTTTACACACTGTTAATAGGCGACACTTGTTAGACGCATTAGCCTCGTAGCTCCAATGCAAAACTAAAGAAGCAGACATGTTTTGGCTGATTGACTACAGTTGGGGTGTAACACAGCTATCTGCTATTGTCCTTCACAAGTTTTTTACGGTAGGACTAATGCTAAACTCCACAAAGCCTCAACCTTCCGGCACCCAGGTTTGGCACAGCATCTTTAAAGGTTCAATATAAATTAATCCACGGTGTTAATCCATTATAAGTATTCTGTGGACGCAACAGTCAATGACAGGAACGTTAGTGCTGGAGGTCTCGCAGGCATTTGACATTTTACTAAATCCCGCACAATGCCATGAGTCAGTTAATCATGGGGTGAAAAGCTGTTAATTCTTCAGCCATGAAAAGGTCACCTCAAATCTAATAAACGGCTTCTTAGCCAGAGAATCTCCAGAGGATGAGCCTCACAAATGAGAGGTGCTGAAGGTGTGATGGTAAATGGCGACCCGACAGGCCGAGGAGTTTTGTATGACACATTTTATTACTCATTCTTAATGACTCTGAAGCTGAGATTGAACTTGTCTAATGTTGACACTCGGGTGTGCTGGGTTACCATGGCTGCTGATCGTTAACGACGCCCTCTGAGCATGGGACGTGTGTGTGTGTGTGTGTTTGTGTGGTATAAAGGGGTTGGGTTACTTTTCTTAATCACTTAACCTCTCACAGAACCTAGCTCACATTCATAACTACACAACTTACATATTAGCTTCACAATGAATCACCAGCAGTCATATGCGAAAGTTTGAACACCCTGCTCAAATTGTTTTGTTGATTTTCTAAGTGAAAATAAGTGAACACCTTATCTCATTTATCTGCAAATTTTAGTGCACAATTTCTATTTTATTTAGTTTAACATACTGGAAAAAATCAAACATAACATATAACATGCCATAACTTCTGCACAGGCCACTTTTTGTTTTATTATATTATATTTATTAAATTCAGCAAGTAACATGTATTCTTATTGTGCATTACCATGTCCACTATAAATATTTTACACACCTATTTACAGATAAAGCTCTTGCATCTGGATGGCAATAAAATTACTATTCTAAGAGGTTGTGTCTTCTACAAACCCAGATATTTGCATCACATGTGGTCATATGACCACGGAAAACTACAGTAATCATTTATACATGTAGCTGCCATTTAAATGCCATTTTAATCAGCTTGCAAGATCTCGTTTTTTTGATAGACTTTGCTAGTTATTTTCTTCCTCTTCCTGATGATTTAACACTTTAGTAAGGATGGAGATGAAACTCTACCACCGGAAGCAAGTGCATAGTTGACTCCTCCAAAGCATCCATGGATTCATGCTTTGGGAACTATTTAATATGGATGCTCATGCTAAGACAAAATATGGCAGTGGTCAAAAATCAAGGTAACATCTGCCTGAAAATCTTGGAGATAAAGTTATCAGACAAAGAGTAGGTAATTTGTCACGCTACTTTCCTATTGGAGGAGGGAGAAAAGACTGACTTGGCTGGTCTGGACAATAAAATCACAGAATAGCATAACAGTAAAAGAGGGAATTACCTCAGGATGCCATGTCAATTTAACCCCATCTGAATAAGGCTTAGGTCACTAAAAAGACTTCTCAGAGGTGGGCAATATGACCATATTTGATCGTTATCATGATAAACGAGTTTCTTCTCTGAGCATATCATGGATATCATTCATACTTAAAATAGAGCATAATTAACATTAATGCTTAATGGGATTTGGTGCAATATAGGATGCAAAATGTTGTATAAAAGCAGTTCAGATGTGGCACTACTAGTGCATAGTGTATGTGTGCCAAAATATGATAAGAATTATGTATTGTAAAAATGTCTTTAAGTATCATGATATGATAGTTTTGCCATGTCACCCACCCCTATTTATTAGTAACGTAGCTCCGGTGCAGAACTACAGAAGCAAACCTCAGACACTAAACATGCCTTGGCTGATCATATAAATGTGCTGTAAGAGGAAACTTGGATGAATTAGATTTTTCTGTAAACCATTTCTTCAAGATTAATAACTGAACAGTACGTCTGCAGTTTAGTCTAAAAAAATCTCAGGCTTATTACATACTAAGGCTTATTATTCAGTAATTACAGGGAGTTCAGTACAAACTGGCTGAGCTATTCTTTGGTTATAGAAGTGTGTAATAAAAGAGCCCACCGTTGTGACCTGTCCTTTTAAGGGGTTAATGGGTTAACTCATAACTGCATCTTCTGACGCAGATTTGCCACTGTTCATGCGGCAACGATGAGGTCATTTAGCCACACCTCAGCAACACAACTCTGGTTTTTCCACAGCGTTAAAAAAAGGTGTTTCTAAACATCTAAACAACCCGACTGAGATGCTGCTAAATATCACGTGACTGCAAATGCAGGGCGTGGTGGATACTGAAGTTCTGTTGGGCTTTGATAGTGTTACGATAGACTCATCACAAGAGGTTTGAGACCTGACATGTGTTATCACGCCTAAGAACTGAGGCTTTCAGCAGCTGTGACACTTATACTGGTGTTCCGATAAAACCCCCAGCTCCTGAAGAAGACTCTCACTTGTTCATGTGCCAAGTTCTTAAAGCTCTTTTCCAAGTTTGGTCCCTTTGATCTCTCACACAGCTTTTAAAGTAGTTTTTAAAGGAGTACTTTAGTATAAAGCTTTTGTTCATGTGATGAAACATGTAACCCATCACATCATCTTTAAACAAAACCCAGCGAATTACAATACATATGAAAACAGTAATGCATATTAAAGGGGAACTTCAACCAAAAGGAATCTGTCTGATCAGATGCCAGCGTGCCGACCAAGAGGATTACATATACTAGCATTTTCAAGCGCTTGATTTCATTTTGAATCAGCTTTTCAGAACATGAAAAGCGGTGACACAATGCTTGCTTTCATATTTTAAAAAATAGACAGACAAATTATATATTTAGTGCTGAAAATGGTGCTTTTCTAACAGCTGTGTCATGCATTACTGTCATAACAGCATTACTGAATCAGTGGTAGCACTTAGTGCTACAGTAAGACTACCTATACAAAAGACTTGTAGATATAAAAGTAGATCATTGATGATTATTAATTACATCATCAACACTTTAAAATGATAAATAAGCAGGTATAACACGTAAAAAGGGCACTAGTGACCTGTTGCTTGCCAAATAGTGAGCCTACATTCATCTACTCTGTTAAAGGTCAGATTTTGCTGGTTGCTTATCTCACGTTGTTAGTGTTATACCTGTCAGCTTTATCAGATATTTGTTAATAAGTTACTACCATTTAACCACAACAGGATATACTATTAGTCAGAAATGATCATTTGGCCTACATTAACATACTGTCTCTGTCAGGAAAAAAACCCTGTGTGTCTATTTTTGTTGTTGTTTTTATTTGTTTACAGAATTTGAAAATGCCAGTATGCCTTATGATTCGTCACAAATTCATGATGAATCGACTCATAGAAATGTTCCAAAATGACTTGGAAATAAATATTTTTCTATTTTCTTCCATTCAAAGTTAAGAATGTCTGCAAAGTTACCACTTTGGCAAGATTTGTCCCAACAGTGATGATACGCTACCTATTATACATATAGATGTTTGTTGTGAGTTTGTATTAAATACATATATCTCACTAAATAGTCATGTGTTTTACACTTTACAGTAAAGCCCCCAATGTGGTGGTTACAGGTGTTAGTACCTGTGTTACAGTATAGAAGAATGTGGGCTCACTATTTGGCAAGCAACAAGTCACTGCATTGCCCTTTATTTATGTTTTAACTACTTGTTAATTTTTACAGTGCGTTTAAACTTAATAAACATGAAAGAAAACTCAATTTAAAGCATTCATAAGCGTTTTGTAAAGGTTGTCTTATTGTAAGGTGGTACTAATAATTTGCCATTTGTCAGTGTATGTTTTTACGCATAAAAAACAAAGCATTATTTTTTTACATAATTTTAAAAAACTGCATATCAAGCACTTGGAAATACTATTTCTGACCTAATCAATAACCATAAAAACAGATTTTAAACCATTCATAAAGGCTGTCTGATTGTAAAGTGGTACCAATTTTGATTACTATTATTACAAAAGCAGCTCTACAGAATTACATCTGCGCTACAGAAGCATTACAGAACTTTATTTTACTCAACTTCTGGTAACTTCCATAGGTTGGGTTTCAGGGTCAGTACATTGCTTCTCATATCACAAACAGGGTTTCCCCCCCTTCTCCTGCGTGACAAAACAGATACCCCTCACCTACCTAACAAAGGTGTGTAAGTGCGTCTGTGTGCTTGCGTGTGGTGCCTGCATGTACAGTCAGGTTCAACCCAGTTTTTTTTCTACGTCGTGCTATCTGCGCAAATGCATGGGCGTGGGTGATTCCAAGTGCGCCTACGTAATGATGTCACATCTACCTCAAGACTGAAGGGTAGGCGCGCGACTGAGCTCATTTGGACCTTGCCTGTGTATGCGTGTGGGCGAGTGGCTTATTCTCACTGGTGTGGCTGGGCGGGTAGTGTGGGTAGCGCCGAGGCCAGACAGGGACAGGAGGGGGAGGGCTGTTCATTTGAGACACAACACCATCAACTGTAAAAACACTGCAAAGAAGCTCTGATGGAAAATCCACACCAATCTTCTGTGGTGCAAAAATTACTGCAGCGCAAAAATTACAAAAGGCTGTCGCACATTTCGCCACTTAATTCTGCGCTTCTTAATTGTGTAATGTGCAATTATTCTGCCCCGTCGTACTTTTTTTTGTGCGGCGTCATGAGAGGATACAGTAAACCCCGGGTTATGAAAGTGAGTAACCATGCAAATTAGGGGAAAACGGTGACTCCTGAACTGCACTAAACACTATTCAAAGGCTGGAAAGACTCTTTGGCCCAAAAATTCTAAGACTGCCACTGATGACTGACAGATAGCAGAGTGTATGCAATCAAATTTGTGCTCCAAAAGATGCATTAACCCCTTTAACTCTTATGGGACCTGTAAATGGACCCATACTTTAAATCCTCATGCTCATAGCTATATAACTTACAAATTAGTTTCATAGTAGTTACTGTATCATTCATAATTGGTACTGAATAGTATGTTTTAAAGAGGAATTCCAATAATGTTCGGCAAATTTCCTGCATAATTAAATAGTTTACATGTAAACAAAATCGCTCAGAGTGGTTTGATGTGAAATGGTGCATTGTACAGAAATTTGCTTGCACTTTCTTTACAGTGGGACCAAATGTCTAAAGTGTTTAGTGCCTCTAAAAGCGCCTCCACAGAAAGCTTTTACATAAAATGGTTATGAATATGCTGCCTGATGCCTGAGGCAAAATAGTCCCCAGTAATAGTTTTTACCACTATTTTATCATTCTCAGCTTGAATATAAGACATGTAGGTTCACTGGTGGTCCTGGATAGTGAATAAAACGGCTGTATTTGCACTGTGGACATCACAATGCATGATTCCTATCATTATGACTATTTACATCTCAACAATTGAACTAGGCTGAAATTTTTGGAAAGTTTGTGAAATTCCCAGATGAACTGAAATGAACTGAACAATACGCCTGCAGTTTAAGGGGTTAAATGCATTAGCACAGTGCTTTAGCCTGCTAAAGATCATTGCAGTGCCTTGTTTTTAACCCTTTAAACAGTAAGGAACCACACTTCTTTTCTCTCCTTACCCCACTACCATTATGATTCACTTTTGGGCATGCTATCGTGCCAGCATAACATATTACTCTAAGAAGACGGACCTTATTATGGGAAATTCTCTCAAAAAAACATTGACTTTCCCGGCTTGTCATGTGCCAGCATCGAATGCACCAGTTTGGAAATGAGGCGAAAGGCAAAGCGGCCTGTCCGGACGCCCAACCCAAGCCTACACGGTTGTAGAGGGGAATGATGGAAGTTTCTAGAAGATCTGAAGCTCGGATAACGGCCAAACGTGTCATCCGGGAGCAATGAATGGACAGCTGCCACGAGCACAAAGGCCTGTTCAGCACACGGCGGCAGATACAGAGCAACGGAACAGATAACGCACTCAAACACACGCTGCCTTATCCAGGAGGACACATGGGCTGGGTGAGCAGGGCTTTAAGGTGTGATTGGAGGAATGTAAAACTTTCCCACTCTCCGCTCCACACTTCTAAAGCTTAACCTTTTCTCCACATCATGACACGCAATCCTAAGGGAACCACCCCACAATCCTTGCGAACACCACCCACGCTGACAGGCAGCTATGCAAACAAAAGCCACATTGCCCCACCCAATGTCAATCCTGCCTCCTACGACAAGCTCCCTGCCTTCTGGTGTGAGGGGTTAGCAGCGTGGGGGGGTTGCACTGTACCTCACTGCACATTAGCAACCGACTGACTAACGTAATGCTGCGTAAACCTCGTCTGGATTCGAGCGGCCTTCGCTGGATGTTCATTATTTAGATGATGGCAGAGAAAGTACTTCTAAATACAGTTTATTCCAGCTCTTGAATCAACGATTTCATTCTCAGAAATAGAGCAACTCAAGTGTCTGATTCATTCTGAGGGATGACTGGGGTTTCCAGTGAAGTTCCTCAGTCCAAGATCACCAGTCTTACTGCAAGACTTCTCACAGATGTAAACCCAGATCTGGCGCATGACAAAGACGAGGCAGCTTAACTCACCTCCGTTTTAATCCTCTTTGGAGAAGGTTCGTCTCTGTCTCCACACCGGGATCTGAGAGAAAAGACAAAAATTGATCAAAATCTGTTTAAAAATAGCTCATTTGAATGCAACTCAACACCAAAATGAACTCCTAGACCCTTAGGCTTATTATGAAAATCATACGAAAATTATGTACTTATGAGAGGAATTGGAATGTGGACCCATATACAGGTTCCCGAGAGTTAAACGAGTTAAAAATGCACTCTGGACGGATGTTGGACCCAGATAATCCGCTCTTCGACTGCTCAGGCTCTGTGCTAGTGAAGAAGGCATGTGTGATTGTTGACATTGCTCACAATAGAAGGATTTAGATCGGATGCGACCTGACTCATTAAAAAAATGCTTTCAGGAATGTCATATTCAAATACTTCCACATGCATGATTTGGTTTAGGTCATAAGGCTACGCGCCTCCCAGAGCGCAATTAGCCGTCAAGCGTCTCTGACGCAATTTGAAAGGTGTGAGCGAACATCTGAAACCTGAGGACAAAAATTATGCAACACCGAAGTGGAATTTTCCGTCCTCCGGTATGCCAGCTGTGCAGTGCAGGAAGCACCTGGACATGGCTTTCTCAGATTAAGCCTGAATATCTGAGATCTAACAAAGTGCATTCAATACACTACCCACACACCAAAGCACACAAGCATGTAAGCAGAGGGCCTTTAAATACCCTGCTCTTCTAACAGCTTAGCATTAGCTGTTTCACAGACTACTATTTGAGCCTGAACACCAGGACTGATTAGAGCATGTTGAGGGTCGAAATTCAAGTCTAAGTCTAGACAAAGGTTTTTCTTTTTTATTTCTTTTTTGTTTTTTACCCAAATTTGTTCCCAACTGTAATCACTGCTGATTCCACCCGCTAGCTGTCTCCCCTGTCACACATTGCTACCAAGCCGGGAGTGTGAAGGCTAGCACATGCTTCCCCTGAGACTAGAGCTGCACTGATATTGAATTTCTGGGCCAAATACAATAACTACAAACCGATAATTTACATTATTACTTTATGCAGACGCTCTTATCTAAAGTGATTCACAACAGTACGTGAATAGATGCAATGATACCTATAAATAAAGAACATGGAAAAAGCAATTAACTGACTACAACCACTAACAATGTTCAAAATCATCATTACCTGACCTGATGTGCCCAATACGAGGCTACATATATATTGTCGCTGTCCAAAGAATAACAAGCATCTCCAAAATGGTATTTTTACAGGAGAGGGCAAAAATGTTATGTGCTTTTAATGTAAGTTAATGTAAGTTAATTCCAAGCAGTTTCGGTGCTGTTGGAACAAAACCTAGTTATCTCCATTTTTGTCGTTTTTTAGTTTTTAACATAATTTGAAAGTATCTTTTGCCCTTTACACTGTGCATAAATTTCATGAAGAATGGACCAAAAGAAATGGTCCAAAATGACTTGGAAAAACATGTGGTTCCATTGACTTACAGTGAAAGTAAAGTATGTTTATTTCTTCTCCTGTAAAGTTACCATTTTTGGAGATACGAAGTTCCAACAACTAATATATATATATATATATATATATATATATATATATATATATATATATATATTATATATATGAATAAGATTTGTGTTAGTATATCAACATTATTCCACTGGTGGTAAAAGTCGCAATGGAACATGAATCTGGCTTTCTATTTACTAACATAACTAAATTAACTATGAGAACACACTGCTAAACAAAGATTAAAAACACATACTGTACTTTTCTCCATGTCATCGTTTCTATCTAGGTCAGCTGAAATCCTGTCACCTGTCACTGTGTCTGAAATAGCCTACTTTAACTGTTAGATCTGAGCAGCCTTGAATGTCTCTGCTTTGTCTGATCACTCACCATAGAAAGGGGTCTATAAACGTGCAACACTATTTCAAAGCTGAAATATGTTGATTAAGAACTAATCCAACCAACTAAAATGTCATTTCTGACCAAAGCAGGTTTTCTGTCTGAATTCAAATGATGTTCTCTTAGGCTGCTTTCACATCTACCTTGTTTGCTGCAGATCTTTAATTTGGTCTGTTTTGACAGGTGTGAACACTCCACCCACACAGTCAACAAAATCATGGTCCTGCATAAAATCCTGGGTGTCAGTCCACTTCCAAGTGAAGCTCGGTTCAGTTCACTGCTGGGGGGGGGGCAATTTTACGATGGTATTCAATTTACGAGGTAATTTAACATCAGAGCATGCTTTTCTTTTCTTCTACTGTCTGCATAACCTGCCCATTTTAGCTCACGTCATTCTTGAAGCATGAGTTACTGCTAATAATTGGAGACCAGCAACCTTCGAGCATTCTAATTATACCATTCAGCAACACTTGAGGGACAGATCTGGATTTTGTACCACGACTGGCTAATGAAAGTTATAAAAAAGATCTAAAGAAAATTGTCGTTTTTGCCACTAATGGCTGCCAATGTGAAAGTAATAGAGCCACCAAATTCCTGACCAATCAAAGAACTCCCATATGTATAATTTGATGCAATTTAGCTGTTAGCTTCAGCCTTAGTCTCCCAGCCATGGATGAATGCAGCACTGCTGGGGATCAAACTCCTGATGATAGGGCCAATGTTTAGATAGCTGTGCTACTCCAAACTAAGGGCTTTCATTAGTGAATCACTACTGGCATTGCAACGTAATCTAAGACTAGGCTTAATCCACATCCAGGAAACAGGCCCAAAGTGTTATTCACCTCCAAAGAGACTAATAGAAATACAAGCCCTAATTCCTCTCAGACAGGTCTAAAAGGCAGTAAAGCCTGATGTTAGAGCGATTTGATGAAGGTTAGTATTGCGTCAGAGATTTGTATCTCAATAACTGGAAAAAGGGAACAGGATGAACATGATGACATGATGGTGCATGCGTTAGTCCTAGAGTCACCCAGGACAAGTCTCCATTCATGGATTTAGCCACGGATTCCACACCCAACAATGTGCATGCACGACAGCCTCTATGGAGCGGGAATCACATTAAACGCTGTCTGTTTTCAGTTGAAGATGTTCTTCATGCTACACTGCTTTTATAAAACCTGTAGGAATGCCAGAGGAAGCCCTTACTTGCTGGTTCTGTAGGTGTATTTGTAGGTGACCTCTCTGGAGACCTGCCGAGCAAGTCCAAATAACTCGTCTCTGCGCGTCAGCAATGCCACGTCCTTCATACACAGCTGGGCTGCAGCCTCGTTTACCGTCAGCTGTGGACACACGTAAGAAACTAATTATAATCGCACCATAACAACAAATATGAACACAACAAATTCACTTATAGATGAGCACAGAGTTACACAGAAAGCAATAGTTCCATTACAAAGCAATACTGCAGCACAATGTTATTTGGTGTGAATAAAGAGGGAAACTGACTGCATATAAGGCCACAACGTGCCACATCTAAGACTTTAACTTCATAATCAGACGATGCCTTTTTCAGGTGAGGTGTGCTGCGCCTTGGGCTTAAAAAACAGCACAACGTGCTTCATTTGATTAACAAGTAGGAAAACAAGAGACAGCGACTTGAGAAAATGAAAACTGAGACAAATGATAAACATTTCAAAACGTTTCTGTCATATATAGCAATAAATATTAAATCTAGGTAATATTTCTAAAACGAAACACACAAATAAAAGCAATACAACAAGAATTTTGATAATTTTGCTAAAACTAGGTTTTCCTCCATGGCATCCTCAATACTGATACTTGTTAATGAGGTATAGTGCTTGTTTTGGATGCTTAGCACAAAAGTTGATGTTTTCTCACTTAAATGCATTATTTAAAATCACATAATGCATTGTGCAGGCTAGAAGAGTGACTTTCAGTGTGTGTTGCTTCATAGACAACAAGGAAAAGAAGCATCTTTGAGATAGTTTAAAAAGGCATCTCCCCCTTAAACTGCAGGCTAAATTATTAATGCTAAAGGTCCCATATCCTACATTTTTCTTCAATTTTTACCCCCCTTGAAGTCCATTTATGAGGTTTATGTGATTTTATGTACCAAAAACAGTTATCTTTCATTTTTACGTGACCATTTTCCAACTCCTCTTTATCCCTCTGACTTAAACAGGCTGTTTTAGTTACTGTGCCTTTAAGACTGATACATGTAATTTACCTCTGTTTTGATTGGTTGCCTTGTATTAGCAGTCCAGACTGGAACACTATAATTTCACTGTGAATGGGTGGGGCTAAACTGCTGTAGGCTAAGTAGGCTGACATATGCAAATGTGTTGGTTTTCATGACATCATAAACACAATTAATCAAAAATTATGTGAACATTTTGAAGCTTTAACAATGTTTTCATACTACATAAAACTCTTTTATTTCACCAAAGTGAGAAAAACTGGGGTTTCCATGATATGGGCCCTTTAAGACTATTAATTATTCTATATCTATGACATAAATACATTATTAATGCAGTTGGAAAGAATTCAAGTATAGGTCACTCAGAATTTAAAGGGTTAAAACCAAATTCCCTTTAAGCCCATGAACTCTACGTTTATTATTCAGCAGCTACCATGAATTATTCAGTAAAAAAGCTACGAAACTAATATGTAATTTATTAATAACTGAACATGCGCTTTAACGTGATCCTAAAGCACTGCACTGGCTCATTTAATACACATCCTTGTACAACCTCATGCAGTGTGAGATGTTTGCCGTCCTTTCTCTTGGAGTCGAAGCGTCCGTAGATGGCGCTGTACTTGCGGATCTCCTCCTCCCTGTGCGGATCCTCTTCGTTCATGTCGAAGATGTGGCTGATCATCTTTGCCAGCTTCTTGTTGCCCTTCAGCTGCTCTTTGACCTCTGTCAGGTCACTCTTAGGCAGAGCCTGTGCCATTCTCTCCACGCATTCTGTGACCGACTGGACAGCGGCTGCATCCAGCGCCTCCAGGCCGTCGCGGGGGGATGAGGGTGAGCCGAGGTCGGCAGGAGAGAGGCTGTGCTCGCTTTCTGTCCCGTGTCCAGCCCAAAAGCGTGGCTCTGTCCCACTCTGTAGGGGTGAAGCTGTGGCTGAGGAGCTCCCGTTACCCGCCTCGCCCTTTCCGGGGTCCACGAGGGCTGCAGCTACACACTTGGGCACCTTCAATAAATCAGTGAAATCGTTCTTTAGATACCTTTCATGTAAACATTTGCGATTCAAATTGTAATAGACACACAGATAAAGTGATAGTTTGGCCAAAAATCTGATTAAAATGGACAAAATTCAGGCCTTTGTCTCAAACATTGCTTTAAAACAAAGACTATGAAAAGCTAAGAGAATCCTGAGAATAATTCAAAGTCATTAGAATGGATAATATATGAAATTAGCACCTTGACGTGTGTCTCTCCGCGGGCTCCATTGCCAGGCAGCAGTGTGGGTGAGCCCTCGGGCAGTTTGTATACGGGAATGCTGCAGACAGGCAGTGAGGTCAGGGGCTGGTTGAACAGGGCCGGGTTGGTGACCCAGTCACGCAGAGCTTTCTGCAGACGCCGAACGTGCAGCGGCTTGCTGGCCATGCCCACCAATGCCATGATCTCCAGGAACTCATCTTCGCCAGCCTCGCAGAGCTGCTGCACATCGTCGCCGCCCTGCTGGATGAAGGCGTCGTAGTAGCACAGCAGGTTGGCTCTCTGTAGGATGCGGTAGAGCTGCAACTCCCCAAGGGTCCTGGGTAAAGTCGCCGCCATACCTGAGAGAGAGGGGGTGAAAGGAAGGGCAGAAAAGGGATGTGAGAAGAGAAACACAAAGGAGTAAAAAAGAAAGAGAAAAATGCTGCGTATGGGTGGCCCCCTAATCACTATCTAGATAGGCCAATGAGGTGTACTACAGTACTGTGCGAAAGTAATAGACCACTGCTCATTTTTTTAATTTCCAGTTCAGATGGTCATAATGTACAACTTAATAACTCTTTAGTGTCAGGAAAACATATATTTGGCCCACACAACAAAATATAACATCACATACGTCAGTATTTAGTGTGTCTAGCCTTTGCCTTCATTATAGTTTCCACTTGCTTTCAGTGGTATATTTTTCCACAGATTCAAAGTTCAGTCTTAGACGCTGTTTGCATTTTCCACTTCTCACTTCTCAAGTAACCCCAAACACAAAAAATGTTGAAGTGTACTTTTGAACTCCAGCTTTGGAAACTGCTGTTTTTCACTTCTTTTCCTTTGTCTTTCTTCTCACTTATGCAGTCTAAGTTCCTCAAAAATATCACCTGAAAAATGTATAACTTGTACTTGATGGCAGTTTTGACTGGAAATGAAATAAATGAATGGTGGTCTCTGACTTTTGCGCAGTACCGTACATAAAACAGTACCAATTGGAACATAATCATTATTAATGCAAGCACTCAGTAGCACACTGTTACAGGGAACGTAAACTATCCCTAAT